TTTCCAAAACATCTCTACTCTTTTATGATGTTGATTTGATGGTACAAGTCAATATTTCGGCATTTGATGGTCAGATCGCCTCTAAGACTTTAGGACTTTGTATATCAAGACGCATCAGAGTATAAGTGTGAATAGAAATTTGTTTACTGTTTTGTTGGTCTAGGTTACCAAAACAAACATTTCATAAATAAATAAAAACGAAAAAGACGTAACATGTAAAAGTTCGAATACAGGTGAATTCCATGACCTGCGCATTTTCAATAGAATGAATAGGAAGCCGAGCGAGAGAATTTGAGATGTTTTGGACTCACAGACTGTACTCCGGTGGCGATCCGTCGGCACAGGTTACCGTCAGTCGCGAGAACTTCCTGTGGTGGTGGTTATGATGAGCGTGGTGTTGAGGCGATGGCTTAGCCGTGGTACAGTCCTGGAATAAAGCACAGCCTCAAGAATATGGAAAATGGCCCAACATGGAGTGAAAGTCAGTGGGAAGTATCATTTATATAAAGCCCACGAGGGAGAGTGGAAGGGATTTCAACAGAGAAAGTATGGCTCCTGAGAAGCCGAGCTCAGAAACCGTTCACTTCGGTGGACAAGATTCTGCCTGTGAATGGAGAGCTGTGGGAATTAAGATTGCCCAGAAGATCTCAGGAATCTGAAGGTTCACCCTACTACGACCAAAATTATTTTCGTACTGCGAAGAGTGGGAATCTTGAGAAAATACTTAGTATTGGAGAAGTTTATTAGGAAATCCGTCTAATTTACTGAAGTCAACTCCACCCATTTTCTCCTCCGTCACACAGTTTTCCTACCAAGCTATGGACGTACCATTTCGTCGGTCCCATCGTGGCAATCTCTCCATCCGTCACATCTCACCACCGACGGAACACATGAGTTACTGGACTCACAGCGGAACTCCGACGACGAACAGACAACCGCTAAAATATTTGAAAATCCATTCAGACACTCAAAAATTCCACGGTTCATATAGATTTTATCGGCGCTGTCGTTCGCTCATTGCGGAAATGTGTCACAGCGCGCAGAATGACAGCGATTGCTTATAACAATAGGAAGCACGGCAGAAACAGTTTGCCGCTTATTAAGACGGCAGAATTGCGGAACATTCCATCAATAAGGAAAACTAACGAGGAACAACAAAGGAGTGAGCATTAGTAACTCACGAGTACAGTGCTCTTCGTCGTCTCCATCTGGGCATTGAACGATTCGATCGCAGAATTGCGAGACCGGAAGACAATGACCCGAACGACAGAGCCGCTCATTTGCTGGGCAGCCCTTACTGGCGTTTTTGACCACGTCTGCTGAGACTCTCAGCTGAAATATCGTTCGTTTTTAACACGAGTTTCTGTAGGAACTCAAAAAAGTCAAGAAAACAGGCAAACATAGTTTTTCCCTGTAACCCCTCCACGGATCGCGTAGAAGGCTAGTTGACCCATTGGAAGTAAGGACCAGTAGAGCTAACAAAAATCATGGTGGCGGAGCATTATGGAAAGAGTTCACTGGTCAAAAAATATTTGAACTGGGGCTAAAAGGTTCTTCACCGATCTTAAGTGGCAAAACATTTTTTATTGATTCAAGTACCTCAGAAGCAAAAATAAGTGTAGTAATCGCAATAACAAATAATAAAAATGATCGATATTTTGAGCCCACTCTTAGGTTTGAGCGTTAGATGACGGGTAAACCACGCAAACATATTTGATCTCACACTCCTTTCGTACCCTTCAAATAGACTCGACAAATGAGAGAAGTCCTGCTAGTTGTCTCAGCAAATGGGGATCTTATTGGCACCCCAACATTATGAGCAGCTGGATCAATCATGTACCCTTTGTTTCGAAAAACGAGAAGAGCGTCGGGTGCAGACCACGCATCACAAGTTACGACGGCAAAGAAAAAAAAGAAAAAGCCACTTTTTTAGGTCGTCGTCTCTTGCGGTGCTTGGTCTGCGACGCTCTTCTCGTCTCTCGAAATAGGGGATACATGTAGTGTAGGAGAATGAGCATAACAGAATGAAATAAACGTTAGAGAAGAAAAGCAGCGTGAAATATTCGGAATGGCAACAGGAAGTGTTGGGTTTTGCCGATCAATTCGAAGTGAATTTAAGAACGACAATTCTGGCTCGAGACAGAAATAATTGGGGTTTAAGTTAAATCGGAGAAACTAGTAGAGAACCAGACCAGACTAAAAGGCAATAAACAAATTAGGCTTTAAATAGAATTTCTGTTTAAAAAAAACCTCTGAGAAATGGATAGAAAGTATTCATGAAGCTCGGCAAACAGAGTTTTCATTCCAGGTAAAAATGCCGAAGAGAAGAAAAGGGATGGTAAACACCAAAAAGTATTGGAACTCCTAGAACTGAACTAAGCATACGAACACAAAAATTTTGAAGGTCTTTCTTTGCTAACAGTTTTACTGGGTTCAAAAATTCGCCCACAAAATATGCCTTTTCGTTTCCCGATCCTTTTTTTCTGAGAAAAAAATGTTTACCCACACATACCTAAGGTGTTCGTAAGAGTGTTGGTAGTCACGTATTTGTCGCCAGTGAGCGAGATTCAGTAGACAATTTTTCCACAAGATGGCCTTTCTTTCAAGCGAATTAAGCGATCAAAAACGGGGTTTAATTTTTGAGTTTATGTCGTTGAATACGACGAAACGTCGGAGGCACCAATTGCATAAACATACATGCTCCATAAGCGCAAAGAATACACAGCAATGTTATCGGAGAAAATTTCAGGCTGACAATGAGAGGGCTTCAAAAAACGATGAGCGTTCGGAGCCATAAGAGTTTGATACAAGACAAACCAGCGAATTTAAAAAAAAACTTAATTAGAG